TATAAAATATGATTTGTTATTGAAAGAAATTTAGAAAAGTGTATAGAGGTGGATGGAGTGTGAAATGGTTAATAGGCCCAATTTTCCTTGTGGATCCTTGATTAGTTGGGCTCAGCTAAAAATCATTTGGGCTGTAACTTAGCCTACCCAGAGTCCAATTAATTATTAAACAGGCCTTCTTGTTTAGACTCCCTCACAGAGCTTTGTGTCAATTGATCAATTCATGTTTAGAAAATGGGTTTTTTTCTTTTATGGGCCAAGCCCAAAAGATTAGCAAAGTCATTTGAAACTGACTTCTTATGACGAGCTTTGCTGCATCTGTAGATACCGAAGGGATTTGTTGATCCGAGTAGCCATTGGAATGATCGAAGGGAAATTGGCTTTCCACCAACTAATTTATTAAGGGTGTCAATTTGTATCGTATCGTGTCATTCGCAAGTTACTATTTTCGGGTTATGTCATTGTAAAAAAAAAAATTAATGTGTTACAAGTTTGAAACATTAATCTAACTTATACAAGTTTCAAATATAATTTGCATAAAAATCCATTCTGAATTTAAAAGACTAATATACCCCTCATTTAATTGGTGTTAAGTTGTCCACTTGAATTAGGACATCTTCAACCATATCTATGATTAGGGGTAACCCGTGCTTAAAGGTATGATGCAACGTAAATGAGAAGTAATGAATTTGAGAGGGTAGAAATTCAATACGAATGGTTGTGAGAGGAATGTTGAAGACCGTTAGATGAGTTTATTTGATATCTTTGAATGAACTTATTGAAATTTGTCATATTTAATATTATAAATTTGACACAAATAAAAATAATATTTTATAATATTTAATTTTCTTACAAATTCTATATTTGACTCATTTTTGGCTATATATTTCATAATTTTTGAACAAAATGAAGCTCCAACAATTCATACCAATGTTCTAAGGAATCAATCAATGTTTGCTAATTTAAACAGATTTTGTATGTATTTTTTTTTTTATTCTAGTACCCAACTTGTTTGATCTAATTAATTTTTCTTTTCATAAATCATTACAGCGAAACCAATTAAGAATATCCAAAAAAATATATATAAAACGTATATAACTAAAAATATATATATCAGGGTGGTCCTAGACCCCTTTCTCTATCCGCCATTGCCAGAGAGACAATGAAGAGTGAGAAAAAGAAGGTAAAATTCAATCTGAATGATTTTCAGAGAGATGTTGGTGGCCGTTATATGAGTTTATTTGAGACCGTTGAATGAACTTATTAAAATCTTTCTTATTTTATAATATAGATAAATCTAGAAATATAATAGAATTGACTTAAAAAAAACATTAATTTATATACATTTAATCAAAATTGAACATTAATATATATACATGTAATCAAAATCGAGTCAAATCTAATATAAATTAAAAATCTAATTTATCAAAAAAACATATCACCAAAATATGTTCTATCAAAAAAAGTTCTACAAATATCATTTATAATATATTATTATTTTTAATTATTACAAGTTATTACAAAATTAATAATTTATAAAAATATATTAGCGTTGGATTTTCTTAAGAAATAAAAAAAATTAGTCTTGAACTTTTAATTCAAGAAATGTGTAAGACATGTTAGTTTAAGATAATTAATTAAATAAATAAAATTAAAATTAATTATATTAAATATAAATGTTTTAAGTAGCGCCCTTGCTTTTTTTTTTTTATTTATTAAATTGATGAGTTTTTTTTTAACCAAAATGTTATTATTATGTCTTATAAAAATTCAAATCGTTACACTACACATGATATTAATGGAAAATTTAACTCATTTAATTATAATGTTAATGAAAGTCTTGTGTTCTGAGATCAGTCGTAATCGTTGACCGATTGGGAAAAAAAATTAAAGAAAAAATGGTAATTTATTGACTTTTGAATGAATGAATTTGATATTGTAAAATATGTCCAAAATTAGTCGTAATCGTTGACCGGTTGGGGAGGGGAATATTAAGGAAAAAAATAATTTAATGACCGTTGGATAAATGAATTTGAGACCGTAAAATGAACTTATTGAAACCGCCCTGTTTTATATTATAGATTTTCAATTCTAAAGATCTTCACATCTCCACCAAAAGCCACCAACATTTGCACAATTCCAAAAAATATTATTAAATTCAAAAAAATAAATTCTATTGATTTCATTCACCCAAAAATTACGGTTCTGATTTATATCTTTGAAAAAATCGTTTTCTGTGCATGGCAATTCAAAAGTTTGAAATTAACCAATTTTGTTTTCCATTTACTGTCACTAGCTTCCTTCTGCCAATATCAACAAAATGCATGAGGTTAGTATGCCTATTGTCGCCAAAAATAGGACTGCATTATAAGTTATGAGATAAAATCCCTAATATGTAACAATAATTCTATAAAAATTTTGTTTCACAGCGTGACATTAAGATATTATGGATGTAAGAGTGAGACGAAATTAATATCTGATTGCATATACGTAACATACTATACTTGACACAATATAACATTAAAGTAGTTAGTTTTGACACTACACTTGTTTTCACATTGTCTTAAAAACATTGTATGATTGTTGTAGTCATAGTGTGAAAAATGGGTTGGTTGTACAATAAAGCATGGCAAGAGGAGTATATTCGGGAAAAGATATAAAACACATGTAAAACAGGCTGCTGAAGTATAAAAAAAAAAATCAGACGTTAAAATAGAAGAAGAACACTAGACGTTGAAGTATTACACCAGTCAGTAAAGTAGAAAACGATGATATACATTTAAAATTTAAATATTCTAATTTATTAAAATAAAAAATTGTTGATATAATAAAATAAATCCCACGAAAAATAGAACGGCCAAACTAAACATTCCATAAATTATGAATAATGGTATTTCAGTAAAGAAAATATTTAAAAAAACTGTCAATTTGTATCTAAACATAAGACATTTCCAATAACAAGTACTTATCTATAATAGATTTTTAGCAATGTATTTTCCCACAAATAAGTAGTTTATATAGTAACTAACCATAATTTTTCGATTACAAGAATATCATTGTCACATCGTTTTATAACAAAATCTTTGTAAAAGTCTTTTGAAAAAGAAATTTCTCAAAGCCCTTTTGAAAAATGATGTACAATATTTTTTCAATAAAAATGGTGAAACTTAATACAAAAAAATTATATTTTTTTGATCAATCTAAAATATTATGATTGATCTTAATCCTTTGTACTATAACTTATTCCTAAAAAGTTATTTTTAATAAAAAAAACTTGTAAATATTGGTGTTATATCTCTTTTAGTTCCAAAATGAACCCCACATTCTACCCAAAAGATTTGTTATAATTGGCATTAAGAAAGATGGAGTTGATAGTGGCTATCACACCGACATTGTTTTTACCTAGAGCCAAGCTAACAGTCACAAATGATTGTATGACTTTTCACTCCAACACAACCTCTTTTTCTATCTGTAATGGCCCACCATCTCCTGAGGTCCACATATTGAATGGCTCATATTAGTTTTGTAGATCAGATATATCTCAGTACACACACAATCTGCACGTAATGCCCACCGTTCCGCTTTTGGACTTTAAGGTATTCGAATCTTGTTATCTTCTTCTCATATAACGGTACTTCAAAAACATGCACAAACACACACACACGCACAATTTGGGTATTATGTCCATACATGGTAATGAGTTAAGTTTATATCAAAGCCGAATAGTTTCATTTTGACAACATAAATCCATATTACATTGTATCATAACAAGGGTTAATCTTATTTTGTATTTTAAAAGATACTTTGATTATCGATTTATACTCTCAAACATTAAAAATTTTAATTTGTACCCTTAATATTATGAATTCGTATCAATATAGATCTGGGTTAAACTCTCATTCAATTTTTCGTCATAAACTGGAGCACGTGAGTTGTAAATGCTTCGGACATGAGCTTAAGCATAAATTCACAGACTGTTGACACCTAATGTAAGTTGTACGTACATGACAGGATTTGCTTCTACCAGTTTAATGAAACACTATTTTTCGATACACAAAATAATGTCAAATTGATCACAGACGAAAATTTACAGCGATGAACATATTTCATCCTTATGTCCGAAATATTTGCACCTCACGTGCTTCAGTTTATGACGAAAACTTAAACGGCAATCTAAGTTAGGTTCACATTATTACCAATTCATCACATTAAGGGTGTAAATTAAAATTTTTAATATTTAAGTGTACAAATTAAAAATTAAAATATTTTTTAGAGTGCAAACCAAGATTAACCCTATAAAAAAAGTGGTAAACATTTTTTAATTTTTTTACTTTTTAATTAGATGAATTCTTATAAAATCGAATGGCCCTTTTAGTTTTTGCTAATGTGTGTAAATCATGAAACTTTTCGATTATAAATTTATATTGTGACCTATGTAATGGGATTTATTAACGAAAAAGACTTGGTCTTGCCCTTCTATTTATAGATTAAATATAATATATATGAAAATGATTCGAATATGACTCGAATATAACAAGAAATACGACTTGATTATGATTTATAATATTGCATGAATATGATAGAGTTAAGTTAACTACCTATTTAGTTCTTGAATTATACTATTTGTATCAAGTAGGACCTTCAACTATATTTTATATTAATTTAGCTCTTGAATTATGCAATTTGATTCAACGTGATTTTTTTAGCCAAATTGACCGTTAACTTTGACAGAAATTCCCACGCGCACGACACATAACCCCTAATCTATAACTTAATCTCCGACTCACTAAACTTATCAAAGTTAACGAGGACTTTTGATGAAATGTATAGTTCAAAGTTACATCAAGTCAAAATTGTACAGTTTTATGGGCTAGATTGACATAAACCATGCTTTAAAAGGACTTAATTGACTTAAATAATATAATTTAGGATTCAATATAAAATAAAATTAAAATAAATACACTTTGAATATGACATCGAAACGGCAGGACCATTGAAGAAGAAAGAGAGAATATTGTTGATATATATGTCCAATTGTCCATTGGAGAAGAAAGAGAGAATATTGTTGTTGTATATGTAACGGTATTGATTGAAAATTCCCTTTAACAGTGAGGATTATGTGGTCTGATCAAAAGGTTAACTCAGAAGACTTGTTCTGCCACGAGACAGAGAACTAAAGATGATCAGGTATGCTTTTTTGCAAATTTTTTTACCAATCTTAAATCTTTCTACTCTTTTTTGCAATTTTTTTACACCTTTTCTTGGGAACGTTCGCAGGTTGTTTTTTAACTTTTACCCATGAATGTAAGAACAGAAGCTTTTGTGTTTAGCAACTATGCAAAATCTCAGTGGTTGTATGGCTTTCTGGTAAAGGGGAATTTCGCTTATAGTTTGATGGATGGTGGGTTGTTTAAGGTATTTGATATCTGTTAAAAAATGTTGTGAAGTTAGCACCTCGAAACCCTGTCAAAAGGGTTTAAGGACAAAATTTAAGTTTTGATTTCATTCTTGCTGTGGGTTTTCTCTTTTGGAAGGTTTTGGCTATTAATCTGTTATTGTTAATGGGTGGAGGATGATAATCGCTTACTGACATTGATACAAGAAACTTGATGGGTATGAAGAATTTTCAATCTTTGTGTCATTTTAAGAAAAAATATTGACTACCTTATCTTCTGATAGAGTGATAGATTTTAGAATTTTGTTTTTGTATACTTCATAGATTTATTCTCTTAAAATATCTTGGATGGCAGAAAAGAGCATTCACTCAAAGTTAGTTTCTTGCCTAATTGTCTCGTCAATGTTCCTTTTGATCCTTTCTTCATATCTCCATTTTCAACTCGGCAATAATTTATCAGTTTTTAAGTCCATTCTGGTTAATAGTTCATCATCTTACTTCAATGCCAATGATGGATCCCTTCCCTCTGGCTATTTGCCTGAACAACCCATTGGAAGGCAAGAGGTGGCTTGTCAAACATCCGATTCTGGCAAGAGAGACAGTGCCTCAGAAGGAGGCAGAAGGGGGGCCTGTGACCCGAATCAGGCCCTTCTTAGGGTATATATGTATGACTTGCATTCAGATTTTCACTTTGGGTTATTGGATTGGAGTGGCAGTGTGAATCAAATATGGCCAAATGTTAGTAACCCAAGTCAAGTCCCTCGGTACCCAGGTGGATTAAACTTGCAGCATAGCATTGAGTACTGGCTCACCCTGGATCTTCTGTCTTCAAACACTCCAAATGTAATGAGCCCATGCACTGCTGTCAGAGTTCACAATCCAAATCAAGCAGATATATTTTTTGTGCCATTTTTCTCATCTCTGAGTTACAACAGGCATTCAAAGCTTCAGGGAAAAGAGAAAGCTAGTGTCAATATAATGTTGCAGGATAAATTGGTGGAGTTTTTGAAGGGCCGGGATGAGTGGAAGCGCTTGGGTGGGAAGGATCATCTGATTGTTGCCCACCATCCAAATAGCATGTGGGTTGCAAGGAGGAAGCTGGGTCCTGCTATGTTTGTGCTTGCGGATCTTGCAAGACTACCTATTGAAATAGCTAACATAGAAAAGGACGTGATTGCACCTTACAAACATATGGTTAAGACCATTCCCGCTAGTGACTCAGCCCCTTTTGAAGACCGCCCCATACTGGTGTATTTCCAAGGTGCAATTTATAGGAAAGATGTAAGTTTTCTTCCCTATTTTGCATTCCATTATGAATTTATTGGATTGTTTTCTGCATGATGTCAAATTGCTTTTGCCTAGTTAATGACTGATTTCTGTGATGAATCTATTTTGGAGGTCTTTATTTCTCTTCATGGGATTGGTTAAGTGCCACTCTGTTAATGGAAAAGAGTTTGACACTGAGTAGCTCACTTCATCCTCTTTTAATGTTGGCACAAATGCCATTAGGATACATGTTCAATCTTGGATCTATAAGGATGAAATATCCTCAACGCAACTCAATAAAGCCTTGTCTCAACGTTTTTGGGGTCAGCTACATGAATCCTATTTCTTTTTGGGGTCAGCTACATGAATCCTATTTCTTTTTGGGGTCAGCTACATGAATCCTATTTCACCAGTGTCCGCTTGATGTGTTTTCTTATTTAATCATAGTTTCAATTGAGCTTCTAGATTTTAACAGAAAGTAGTCAAAAAGGAGTAGCACCCTGCAATTTTTGTCGAATATGACTTCAATTTGTCATTGTTCACCTTCAGGCATCCTAACCATTCTCTGACATGAGGATACGAAATTTCTTTTTTATTAAGGGTCCCCCACACCCGCCTGGGGGGAGGGGTGTTTATGGCTTACATTGACACAATGGTGTCATACCTTTGTGCGCTTAATTTTTTAGTACCATGTTTGGGTATATCTTCAGGGTGGAGCAGTTCGTCAAGAACTGTACTACCTTCTCAAAGACGAGAAAGATGTGCACTATGCATTTGGAAGCAGCAAAGCAAATGGAGTGAACGAGGCAGGGCGAGGAATGGCCTCATCCAAATTCTGTCTGAATATTGCGGGAGACACCCCTTCCTCAAATCGCCTCTTTGATGCCATTGCTAGTCACTGTGTCCCTATAATAATTAGTGATGAGATCGAACTACCATTTGAAGATGTTCTGGACTACTCAGAGTTCTGCATATTTGTTCGTGCATCCGATGCTGTGAAAAAAGGTTATCTTCTGAATCTTCTTAGAGGAGTTGAGCAAGACAAGTGGACCAAAATGTGGGAAAGACTGAAGGAGATTGCACAAAACTATGAGTATCAGTTTCCATCTTGGCCTGGTGATGCTGTCAATATGATTTGGGAGGCAGTTTCACGTAAGATATCTTCGATAAAATTTAAAGTTCACAGGAAGAACAGATACCGCGGATCTCAGGTGACCCATTGATTTTATGAACACTCACCTTGGAAGATAAAAGCATTACTACCTCGTCTACGAAGAAGAAAAACATCAGATCTCTGGTTAGTCTCTGCATTCTTCCTAAAATATACGAATTTAGTTTTGGATAAAGATATGCATACCTCTGTTTCTGTAACCATTTTTTTTTACAAAGCTCTTGTAATGTTAATTTGGATTCATATTGCAGTTCTATATGCAGGATAATAAATTCGGCCCTCTTTTATGTTTACTTTAGTCTTTAACATGAAGCATGTAACTATAGATTTGTTGATAAAATTCGATATTTTTTATGCACCCAGGCAAACAAAAATGAATAAGTTGATAAAAAAAATCACTTGAATAAGCAGGCCATATCTGGGAAAATGAATTTACTTTGAGAGTTTGTCTCAATGTTACTCTGAGAATCACCTTCTCCAAACTGGGGTAGGGTTGTCTACTACTTACCTCTCAAACTCTATATAGCCGGTGTCTTATAGGTGGGAGGGAGTCTTGAATCTGACTGTGACAGACTACACCATAATTGTAGATAGATAAATCTTAAGTAAATTAGGCTGCCCAACGTGTATTGGATGGATGAAAACTGGAAGAAAGAGTTATTCAGTTCTGAATATATCATCATCCTAAATTGTGTTGGTTAGAATTCTCAGTTTATACATGATAAAGGTGATGATATCTCTTAATTTTGCTTCAGCTGCCATTCTTTTGCAATGCTTTAAACAAAAGGATCCAACTCAAACTTACAAAAGTATAGAAAGCAACCCAACATGTATTGAGCAACTGCTGAGGAAGCAGATAGTGCCCACCACCTCAAGTTTCTTCTGTATCAATGACAGCCAGAGGCCATTTTTTCTGTTGCTCATAAATCTTCGCAGTTCTGGTCTCAAAACAGAAAAATACTTTGGTTTTGTGAATTGGGTCTAGTCTTAATTTGAACTCTTCTTTTGGTTGATTGATTTGGATAGAACATTCTTGATGGCGCGAACATTTAACCGTCGGTGACTGGCCTTCTTCCCATCTGATAGCATATTCTAAGCTTCTCAGGCCAGCAATTTTAGCCATTACAAAAAATAAGGATGACCACCCTTCGATCAGTGAACCATGTTTCTAAGAAACCTAGAAGATTGACGGCAATAACAAGAGAATTAAGTGCTTTGTCTGGTGCTGCTGTCTCTGCTTCGTGTGGCTCATGTGTGGACATATAAGGCCTGTCAGCGGAGCTTAATCCGACTTGAAAGTTTCTATCTTTATTTGATTTGGATATTTGATGGCTTTTATTTTTACTAGAAGCTATTTTTGTCCAAAAAGCTGATGGAAAAACAACCCAAAAAGTCCAAGTCCAAACGAACCAGACTTATTTTACTCTAGAACCAACAAAAAAAAAACTGAAATTTTAAACAAACCCAATATAATGGATTCGGATTTATATTTGGACCATCATTCAAAAAGCTAGATAAAGTGGAGATGTTGGGGGTAAGCTGAGGAATAGAAACATCTGCAAGAAAACCAAGTATTAGCTTAAAGCCAACTCACTTTAGAATTCCGAGCTCTTCTTCCCTCCATGTACAAAAATCTCTGTCCTGGTTTCATGTGCTTACTGGGTTTCCATTATGCTTTGGTTTTCTTCATCTTTAGACTCTGCATGTCTAAACCTTCCATTCAAAGTTCCAATTCAGAACCTAACTATTTTCCCCTTCAGTATCAAATTTAAGCTTGAAAAGTAAACCAATGGGGCTTAATTCGTCGGCCATATCAGAATCTCCAAACTTCCCAATTATGAGATCAGGCAGTCAACCCTTGCTAATCATAGGTATTAATCTCTCATGCCTCTTCTGGGGTATATAACCTGTCCCTTTCTGATCCTTTTTCACATTTCACACTCAATCATACATGTTACTATTGACCTGATATGGCTAGGAATACGAAGGCTCGAGAAGAGACTAGTCCAAAATGCACATAGATACCCAATAGAGCAGTACACAATCACACTATGCAAATATAGACAAAGAGTAATGCTACTGGGACATAACTTACTGACCTAATTCACTATGATATTTGGATTGACTGTGTGCTCCATCAAACATTGAAACTTAGTGTTAATCCAATGATTCTACTAAAACCACGTCATTAGGTCAGCAAATTATGTCAGATTTTTAGGTCTAAATAGCATTTTCCATAGACAAATTCCACTCATATGCTCCTCCCTTCCAGACTATAATATTGCGCAGAGGGTTTTGGTAACACCGTTTGTATCAAAGTCAGTTTTCTCAGGGGATGGCTGGAATAATTGAACTACTCCAACTACCCTCATTGCAGAGGAGCAAAATCCATCTTGATAATTCATAAGAAAGCATTCCAATTTAATCCCAACAATAGCTACATGTATACTGATGCAAAGAAAACGTCATATCTGTCATAGGCAAAACATATACAAATAAAGCATGATGAATAACCTATTAACACTCAAACCTGAATCCTTCGACATCCCAAATACCCTGAGATTGTGTTCTGTGGAGACAACAGGTTTGTTACCAGAAGTTTTCCCAAGCAGCCACAGTGACTGCTCCAGTTTCAAACTTAAGGTACAAAAATAACAGAAGAATAAAACGATATGAGAAATTTGAGGTTGTAAGGTTTTTGGAAATAGCAAGAGATGGTTGCCGAAAAAATTCAGCCTTCTAGACAGAAATATAATATTATTGAAGGGGCTCCGGATGGGGGATCACGACAAACCCCGGTGATGATGAAGAAACAGCAAGTCCTGGTATTAGTGAGGTAACTGCAGGCTCTGGTGTTGCAGCAGGACCTGGTGCTATCGTGATCGGCAAGCCCCTATGTTGATCTGCTTGTAGCAGAAATGCTTCTGCTTCCTGATTCAAACGGAAAAAAAAAAAAGGAAGCAGAAAATAGAAATGAATGAACTAAAAATGAAAGGAGGTACTAAATACTAAGAATAACGGAAACTAAAGATGCCTCTTAACTAGCAAGGCATTATCTTTAACTAGCCACAAATATATGGAAATCATGCACCTGGAGTAAATGCAACTAAGAGAGAGGAAAAGAGGAGAGATAGAGAAGAGAGGGGGAGTCAAAGGGAAAGCTCATATAAATGTATGGGAAGTACACCCCATCTAAGAACAAACCATTATATTGGTCTCACAAAAATCCAGGTAAACTAGGATGTAAGACTCATTTATGTCCAGAGGGTGATAAAACAGTTATTCCAAGACCTAATGCTTATTTATACTAAATATTATAGCAACTTTAGATTCCCTCTTTTCTTTCCAATTTCTTAGAATTTTGAATTATTAAATTAAAAATTAAAGGTATATCTAGTAATTTCTATCATGTGTCAATTATAACTACCCATCATTTATTTAATTTAATCTAAAAATTATTTTTACTACCCAACAATTAATAATAATTCGTTATCTACTTTCAATAAGAATTAAAGACGAGGAGCAAAAACGAAAATAACGGGCTATAAATCCTGTGCGTATAACGGGCTACAAGTAAGACCACTAGTATTTGTGTGTAGAACTGTAGATGTAAAAACACATCAAGAGAAATGGCTTCATTTGTCAAGAGGAATGTGATTTTTTGGTTTGTCAAAAAGTATTCGATTGTTGGTGGTATGTTCACTTAGTTCTCTTGGCAGCAAAAGAACTGATTCATCAACAAAAATTTTAGAGTGTGTCAAATATGTACATCAGTTCAGCAGAAACAATTTTGTTGAAGAAACCCATTGTTCAACAATGGATGGAGGAAAAGAAATGCAGCCCAAAGATTAGACAATGAGAATAAAACTAGTGAAGGAAACCTCCAACCTGTCCTTGCCTTCGACGCTGCAATATACTAATAACCCAGGCCATTATATAGCAAGGGAGAAGAAAACCAGCGGCCCGAAGCAAAAAAAGCTGTCAAGCATTAACCATAAAATCAAGAGGTGCAACACAGCAGATGCACAAATGATATAAGAACGCATATAATGAGACACCTTGATAGTGGAATCAACTTACAGAGAAAAAGGTGGAAACATCATCTTCATCCCCATCACCGTTTACAAAGGTCAGAGTATGCTTCAAGAGTAGAAGAGCCATTAACTGCAAAAAATCAGAGAGATTTAACTGCAAATACATGGTGAGGCAATTTGAAATGGAATAATTAACTTGATCAAAGAAAAAAGAAAATAGACTGATGAACATGGTAAATATCCCAAAAAAAGGCAAAAAATTACAATGTGCCATAAACATTGTTTTCAGCATGAGAAGCTAGCACCAAAATTACAAAATTATAATGATCATGACCATACCAAAATGACACCAACTGAAGTGGGGAGAAATGGAGGTATACAAACAGGACAAAATAAAGAAAAGAAAGGCAGGTAATTAAAATTCCATGAATAAGCAACAAGTCTTGGTATTCAGAAGTTTCACAAATCCTGTGTTTTCAAGAGGAAACACTTTGTTTAGAGTTTGTCTTCTGATAGATCCATACTAAAGCCCATTAATAAAGATGTAAAGGTGTGAGCAAAACCTAGGGGAAATTAAGACGTCACAATATGCTGATAACAAGCCACGGAAATTGTTTTAGGTTTGCTTCCTGGGCAGAGGGGAAACAGGGGAGCAATTGAGAAAAAGGGATGACAAAGGAACATAACTATGCCAACCTAATTGCATCATAGAAGCCTGCATCCCCAATGCACTTGATAAAGAGGAAGAGTTTTAGTAAATAACAGCACTACAATATTGTGTGCCTTACAATTAGAACAGCAGAGCGGCAAAATGCAGTGCCACTGGCACTTGTCTCATCATATTCAGCCTCGAGAAGATGGCGTTCTGTGGCAGCCATAGCCAAAAGTCGAGGGTCATGCAAGTCTAAAGGAGTACCAGCAATCGTCCAACCCCCGCTGTGAGAAGAAAAGAAAGAACATAAACAAATATTAATAGAATTGAGATCCAAACAATTGATACAGGAATATATATCTATTAAATAATAAATAAGCTTCTGAAAAAGCACGAAGGTGCCTAAGAAGAGGATTACAGATTTAGACCATTATGCAACCAAAGCAAAGTAACCAATTGCACAAGATGGTGATACACACCATTACAATACAATAACAATATCATCACTATCAAGCAAACATGTATAAAGGAAATGTAATTCAACATGAGGGTGTTCAAATGAATAATTTTACAAGTAAACAAATAATGACAACTGCAATCTTGAGAAGTTAAAAGGTAGTACCACTTAAGAACAAGATAAGGCAACGCTGTCTAACATGGGTTAAGGAGTGTCATGAAAACCTAGGTAAGCTGTAAGCGCTATTACGGAGTCACTGGATGGACACGAGAAGCCACAAAAGAAGGCCAACACAACTGATGCTCTATAATCGATTAATAGATTTTCTTTATGTGTTTGGCCTGTTCAATCTATCAAAAGATTATATGGAGTATGGACATCAACAGGACAAAGGACAAAAAAACAGAAGAAGAAGAAGAGGATATGTCCAGGAAATTCGAAGTAATTGGGGCATTAGGGTATTACTATTGTTATCAAAGTTTTAAAAATTGTACATTGGAGATTTGGAGTACCAATGTGTCATTTATGTTGACAAATGACAATAGACATTTCTCACCGCATCCACTTATCAACCCCCACTATGTTTAGCACAAAGTCACCCTCTAATAGCAAATAACAACACATAGACCTACCAAAACTTCCCCACAACTAAGTGGACCCATACCGAAGACATTTGTTCTTTGTATCTGCTCCATACGCTGGATCAAAACATAGTATATACACATCTTTCAACAAAAATACTGAAATTGAAGACAAATGATACATTCCGTTTGCTAGGGTATATAAGATAGGAATGTAATCCAATATAGTTTTGCTGAGAAAAATAACTCATTATTAGATGATAATACTATAGTTACACTTATATGGTTTCTTGTAAATTTTAAGACAATATCCATTGCAAAATTATCAAATATTAGAGGTTCAATTGTCAATCTTAAATTATTTAAAAATCAGACAGTCCGCATATAATTAATGGAAAATCATGAAAAAGAGGAAAAAATACTTTAGACATGCCTGATATCAATGGTGGTATCTTCGGGGTGAGCTGGAGCAGTATAACCAGGTTGGTAAGGCTGTCGATCAAAAGAAATTTTTTTTTTTTGAAAAAGTCAGCATATTAATGGAGATTATACAACTCAAAGGAAAAAAAAATGCAATTTATGTTTATGCAAATGAACCGAGGGCTTCATCAGTCAATTCACAGGCACCATGTCTTATATGCCAGCTGATGGTTTCCAACTTGCATGAATTTGAATTTACACACACACCATCAAAAGCAACAGCAGCTAATAGAGATCATAGGTTACACGCAACATAATAATACAGTCTTACTACTGAGAAAGGGAAATAGAGGGAGATAGGGGGGAAGGGAGCCACAAAGGAAGAAACATTGGCATATACCTGATTACAGATCTCACAAGTTATATCTCCTTTCTCATTGCACCATCGCTGAACACAGTTCCTGTGAGCGAACTGGATGAAAAAAAATTGGTCAGCTGGCAACCAAGAAACAATGGTAAATCAGACAACAGAAAATGCTCAGAAGACAACATCAGAGAGGAGAGACTCTGGGCATAATCAACCCAACTACGTCCAGAGAATAGATTGAATGCCAAAGAATCCCTTGATTTTGATAAGTAGAAGAGAGAAAAACAAAGATGCCAATGCAAAAAAAAAAAACATGAGGTATAAAAAACTAAGAAAGGTTGTAAGAAAACAAAAAAAATATAAGTCATGTCACGTGCCCGTCAACACAATTCGGTGTCGCACACTCACCCAGGCAGGTACAACAAAGCCAACTCATCCAAGAGAAAAGTGCAGAAGTGCATTGAGTTACATCTATTTGCTGCTGAACTAAAATAAAACGACCAGCTTTATTTAACTGAAACATGTACAAAATTGCAGAAATCTCATCTTTCTTTGTCAGAGAGCTCAATAAACAATCATTACAGATTTTTTTTACTCTCTATGGTTTTTCAGCAAGTATATAATTTTATAATTGGGCTTGAATAATGTGCAATTTGATATCACGAAATAACAAATGCAAACATAGGCAGCCACGCTCCACTTTTAAATTTGAGTGATTTGCCAGGTCTGACAACAGTGCACATGTCTGCACAAGGCATTCCTATCTGAATCTCTGTGTGGACACTTCTGCCCAATACCATAAAGCAGAGGTGTAAGGACATAAGGCCATTATCCATCAAGCCTTGGTTAACAGGAAGAAAAAGACTCGTCTCCACCAAGATGCTCACATTAGTGCCAAAGCAAACTAAAGTTCTCTGGCCAAGGTCAAAGGAAAGAACTACAATGATGTGTCACGGGCCTCACGGCCTAAGGGTGTACTCACTAGGTAACACTCACCAACTATGCATACTGAACTGAAAAAATTAAAACTATGCATGAAACCTGCAGCAGCCTTAGGAGGGAAGGACAACTCCAACTCATTCTCGACATTCAACACTAACAAATGCAGGAGATCAGAAGATTTAATGCATCTATATATACAACATACATAAACATAGGCATACTTCTCATATAATGCACAAATTACACCAAACATACAACCTCGATATCAAAAACCTTTGTGTGAAGATACCTTAAGACTTCCATTACAGAAACAAGGGATCTCCAGGTTTTTTATGCTATCTTCCTCCTGGCATATGCGGCATTCCACATTGGGAATCAGTGGTTCTTCTTCACCAGCTGAACAATTTTCTCCCCCTTCCTCAATATCGATCTTCAAAGTGGATCGATCAACTGGGTAACCACAAGATCTGTTTCCAGCAGACATTAAGGCCCCAGCCGCTTGTGGCGGTTGCAGTGATTCGGGTGCAATGAATCGGTCAACACACGAAACCATGTGGTCTCCCATCACGTCTCTAGCAAAATATCCTAACCAAAAACATATATCCTTGATTCTACATTAAAGCTGAAAATTCGGATAGTAAAACAATAACCCATTGATGCACTCAATTTTCCAATCCAGATAAGGTCAGCTAAAACCTAAAATAGAAATAAATTTAGGATTAAAATAAACCAAGAACATAGAATACCACGGCGAAAATCTTGAAGCAGTGGACGGACTCAATCCAGTAAAAGGATTCATTAAACGATCAAAAAATTAATAACAAATAAGTTAATTCCTTCACTTTTCCTACCTCCCCTTAGCATCCAAACATAGGATTAAAAAAAATTAAAACTTGGAATCCTGTATACGCTGGAAATTAAACTGATATTCTAAGAATCCAAATTTACCTTCCATATTCCTAAGAGAGAAACAACATTCTCAAGGGCCCAGTTAGGTTGCTGCGAAATTGAAGGAAAATGCTGCTAAAAACAAACTATAACATTAACAAAAAATAGTTTCATTTTTCCTTCCATGGAAGTAATTCTATCTACCCCAATTTCTCAACCCCCAAACAGAAGCTAAACAACAGGAAAATCATCTAAAACGCACCCAAAAAACGATCTGAAATGGAATTCCAAGCCCCACCCAATGCCCAAAACAAGATGAACAGCAAAGATTTTGGAACTCCAAGTACCTGAAAATGGTGGTTTTGATCGCCTTTTGGGAAGTTATGGAATCAGTCTCGAGGAAAGTCGTGAGTCGTAACCTTGCTTCGAAACTGATGATGAAAAGGGATTGAGGGAATCGCACTTTGACCCCTACATATTTACGAATTCTTTTTTTACACCTTTAAAAATTATATTTTTTCATATCATACTTTCAATATATTGTATTGTAGCCCTGTGTTGTTGTCTTTTTTTTTTTCTCATTTCGTCAAAAACTATCACATTTACCTTGATTGAATAAGCAACAGAAGCTAATAATATAGTCATATTGTAATATTTTAATATATTCAAATATAAAATAAAAAATCTAATTTTTATAGATATAAAATAAAAAAAAATTAAATATTTTAAGGGCTTATCTGTACTTATAGGGATAAGGACAAACGGTACGGTTTGAGTTGAGACATTATTGTCCGATATGGATGTTCGGGTTTAAGAAACTTGGGCTTCGGGGTGACAATCGTGAGTTTATGTCGACCACAAATTAATCTTAATTTAATTTATTTAATTAATTAATTATTTTATGTCTATCTGATTTATTTATTTAATTATCTTACTTATATAACTCGTAAATAAGGAATTTAACGTCAAGATTTAAATTTAAAATTTTATTATTATTTAATTGAATTCATGATCATATTTTTTTATAAATTTAAAATTAACTTAATAAACATAAAAAATTAAAATTACTAAAAATATCATTTTTGTATAATAATTATGTTAATATTTGATAAAACAAAAACAAATAAGTGACATTTTATTTCTATAATAACTTTCATGTTTGATATTAACTTGACCTATTTATTATTCGTATTAATAGGTCATGTTATTTACAAGTTCATGTTGAAAAATAATTAATTTTAATCTATTAATTTTATATCAATTTTAAATCTTATTTTCGTCCTAATTCCAACAAACAAATATAACAAATCATTAGCCCCCCTCTGCGATACGACACAACTATCCTCACAAGCACCATAGCAGCACCACCCAAGAAGCATCATGCAACCAGCTACCTTAGACTAGCGGTGTTCAGTCGACATTTAGGCTCGGAAGGCTCTATTTCCACCGGTCGAACCGAATCTACTTAGAAGTAGAAAAGTGAAGCCCAACAAACCATTTTAAAATATCAATGAACTGATAATCAATGCTTAATGTCAGTCGGTTTATAGTTCGGATATCAGATGGACTTAAATTTTAATGATAATAGATTCAAATTTGGGGCTCCTCCAAAGTCCAAAACTTTTTGGTCTCACTTCAAACAACACAAGTACCTCATCTAAGAACGTTTATTGGGCCCAAACAAGACTACATATTACAGTCTACAGTTCAGTTCTATAAAAGCCTAGAATAAACCAACTTGAAATAGGTAATAATTTGACATCGACAAACTCAGTGTAGGTATTAACTCGGGAAATGGGAACACAGTACTACGTTATACACCAAGAGTTGCACCACGACACGTGGACATGGGACAATACTTGACAACCCTAATGAACGAATATCCACGGGTGGTAGAGATGACTCGCGTATTCCAGTTGATACGTAGTGGGTACAGAAAAACATCAAGGATGATAGTTCTAGTAACAAAACAAACGAAAAGGAGAGCACAAAATCAACTAAAAAATGAATCACCACGAAACCCTAAGAACGGAATGTATAAATTACTAATGATACCACACAATTAAGAAAGAGACCATCCAGTAATAACCTAGCGAATATGCTATAAAAGGCTTCCAGCTAAATATCTTGTAATAATAATCTTCTTTTCCAAACAATACAATTTTCAAGGAGCAAGAGTCCCTTTTACAGTGAATGTAATCTTAGTCTTTGGATTAGGGTGAACCACTCATATTATTGTCTTTGTCTTATATTTAACACTTAGCACACTTTCTATCGCCTACACACAATCACATACTCTCTAGGCCACATCTCAGTCCGTTCTGCAACTAAGTCTAATCAATTTCGAACACCATCAAATTCTAAAATTGCTTTGGCCCAATGGCCACTCCGAATGTCACTGCCGGATTCACATGGCCATCAGAAAAACATTGGCAAAAATAAACACTGCCACCGACAATGCAAAGGCACTTGCAATGGCAATTGCCACCGGACCAGAGGGATCCAATGTTGCATCTGCCATCATTTTCCCTATACACATCGCAGCCTCGTTACACAAAACAAACATAACAGACGATTACATATATGAACGAGAATAATGTTGGGTAATTTGCATGTTATTTCATTCGTATATTTGTAAAAATAAAAATAAAAAAATAAAGCAACAATTTGTCTGCAAAAAACTCCAACAAATGTCCTAAGACTTATGTGATTTGATGACATAGACAACCCGACCACAACGAAGACAAAAATAAATGTGTAGATGAACCCTATAAGATATGATCTAAGAGCATTGAGAGTGATAGAGTGCTCTAAATGGGATTTTGGTGATGTCATTGTCGTATAAGACTAGAAAGAACTGTTTTTTCAAGTTATCATAAATTCTATTCTACTCTTTTTTTTGTATAGAAATAGTTGGGTATAAAATAAAATTACGATTATAATTTAAAGCATAAAGTGTTACTTCAAGAATTTGAAGGGTAATACAAGATATAATCAAAAGCCTAAGTATAAGGGTATAATGTAATATTTGCAAAACTTGAGGGAGTTGGGTCATAACTCGGTTCTACCCATGAATGGGAATATCACAAATATATGTTGACCCACACTGAATTTTCAAATAAAATTAAGAGCCAATCTCTTACATACTCCCCAGCTAAACTTCAAGCTAAATCAAGAGTGGATTTGAAATTCATGATATAGCTTAGGACCCAAACATATAATTTTTTTTTCAAAAATAAATGAAAAAGGTAAATCTCATAAATGGCCCTGACTATAAATTTTATTTCATATAATCCCCTAAACTTTCAATTATTCTAATTTATTCGGCAAGAGTCCAAGGAGAAGAGGAGTCCGGTTCATTCTAAGACTAATGCCCCCTTCTCCAGCAACGAAGGAGATTTTAGAATGGAAAGGAATGCTGTCTGTGTAGATTCTATTAAAATTAATTATTAATTTATCTCATTTAACAATTAATAAATTACATAATTTTAGAGAATAAATTAGAATAATTAAAAGTTTAGGGGATTTAGTCCCCAAAAAAAAAAAAAAGAAAAGAAAAAGAAAAACACGGTTTATTTAGACTAGGGTTTTCTCTCCCGGTCTCTCTTTACAATACATGCAGAGATAGGAGGAGGAGCTCTTTCATGGCTGAAGCCGAACCAGTAATCGAAGTCCCCGAAACCAGCACAGAGCCACAGAGAGACAGCTCAACCACTCAAGACATGGAACTCGAGGCTCCAAACCCATCCGAGTCAACTCATGTTAGCGCTGAACCGGCCGTGAATGGCGAGTCGAACTCAAAACGCGACAGAGAGGAAGGAGAAGAAGCAGAGAACAATAGTGAATCCAAGAAGCAGAAGGTGGAGAAGTCTGTGGAAGAGGAAAGTAGAATCGAAGGTGTTGATGACGAGAAAAAGGAGTCGGGTCAAGTTGATGTGGGTCCGAAGAGTTTCGGGTCGTCTGTTGAGATGTTTGATTATTTCTGCAAGTTTCTTCACTACTGGCCTCCCAATCTCAATGTGAACAAGGTACAATTTCATGTGTAAATATTTTAATTTTGTTATTTATGGATGTGATTTTTTTTTTGACTTTCTTATTCTGTATTAGTCTTAAATATCGAATTTGCCTGCATTATATTTGGGATTAGCATAGTATAATAGCTGGACAAGTATTATCCAAAAGGGTCATTACCTAGTGCAATTGTATAAATTATAATGCTTGGGTTAATGACAAGGTTGTAGATTTGAATGTGATGAGAGCAGCTGCATTGTGCAAATAATGTCAAAGGGTAGGTCCTCCTATCAATCACCAAACTGGGTAATGAATAGAAAAAAGCATGGGTTCTTATACAGTTATACTGAAGTAGCTTGAAGGAGATCAAATTTAAATTCCCAGCAATGGTTATCTAGTTATCTGCTACTAATAACAACTTCAGTCGAATTCTGCATTTTTTAATTCTAAACCTATGCCTGAACGGATATTTGCCATCATTTTTGGCTTCATGTCAGCTGTTTGCCTTATTGTTCTCTAAGGCACAAGCGCACTAAATTCAGGGGCGGAGCTAGGTTTCTATAAATTTGAACATTACCATGTCACATAAAAGGAAAAAGACTAGGGTCATTTATAAATTTTGAAAAAATTAAAGGGGGCGATGTATTATGTTGAATAGAATTTTGTTGTTTTCACACCATATATAAGTGCCCCCCAAACCTTGAAGGTAGCTCCGCCCTTGAGTAAACCGGCTAGGTTTCCTGAGGCCAAGGCACGAGGTGAGGTATGGGCTTCATTGAGGCAATAAATTGACACAAGTTAGAAATACCTTGCATATAAGTTTTACTCATTGAAAATTTGCAATAGTGGAAGGTTTTGATCATTCAAAGCAGCCGATTAACTTTGATTTCTTCCCCTGTAATTTGAGAGTGTTCACATTTGCATTGTTATGATGCGCCTTTTAACTAAAATTTACGTTGCTTGATTGCTTATATTTTCTCATTACCCTTGCTATCTTATGGAAAATTCTCTTGATTAAAGTAGCAATGAGAACTATTGCGGCAAACTCTGCTTTCTGGCACCTATTATGCTGCTTGTTCATAGACTTTCTGTAAGAAGTTCATGTTTTAGTTTTTATTTGTGTTGCTATGTTAAACTTGACCTAAAGTTCAATCAAGTGACGACTGCATAGCTGCATCAAGCATAGTTGTCAAATCGCGTATCGGAAGACGTATCGTTTTTTAAAAATAGTGTATCGCATCATATCGTGTATCGGAAGATATGTGCAATTTAATTTTTAAATAATTAATAATATATATATACCTTTGTCAAAAAACATAAATTCATAATAATATAGTATTTCATTAATATTCCACAAACTATTCAAGTTCTCAACATAGTTTAGTAATATCAAAATGCAAAGACCTCTTATTCAAACTTCTAACACTAACTGCTTGAATAACTTTAATATTAATCAGGAATTTTGAACTCAATTGAATAACATTAACAACATACTTTATTATATTTTTTTAAACCACAACCACTAAAACAACGTTGTTTCACTGCCTAGTGATTTAAAAATAAGTCTTAGGGTAAAACAATGTCATTTCAATCCCAAAAAATTAAAAAAATAGAATCGTATCGCGTATCGTACGATACGGTGTAAAAACAATGCAGAGACACAATACGTATTGTTTTTCAGGTGTATTGTGACGTATCGTACGATACTAATAACTATAACATCAAGTGGCACCATAAATTGGATCCATGTATTACACAAAATTAGCAGTACGTGATCGCATAATAATGTTTTTAAGTTTCCAGATTCTTGTTGCTCACTTGTTTGCTTGTTTATGTACTTACAGTATGAGTACATGGTGTTACTGGAGTTGATGAAGAATGGTTATTTGGAGCCAGAGAAAAAGATTGGTAAAGGGATTCGGGCTTTCCAAGTCAGATACCATCCTCAGTATAAAAGTCGCTGCTTCTTTCTCATTAGGGATGATGAGTCTGTCGATGATTTCAGCTTTCGGAAGTGTGTTGATCACATACTTCCCTTGCCAGAAGAATTGCAAATAAAACCTGATGTCAATAAGGCATTAGGTGGACGTGGCACTAGAGGAGGCCATGGAGGTAAAGGTGGTGGAGGTGGAAGAGGAGGTGGGCGTAGCCGCGGCCGTGGCCGAGGGGGGAAGCGGAGAAACTGAGGTAGTGGTCTTTGTTTTACCTGCAGTGGAGTTGGATTTAGAATTTCATAATATATCTCCAATATAAAATGCTGTGAGGTTTTTTTTTTTTTTAAAACTTATTTAGCTGAACTGTTATGCCATCCAAATTTTGACTAACAATGGCTGGTGAAGTTTTGCATTGGGATTACATGAAGTTTTTGATATATGTTGAAAATTCAGCAGTTTTTATTCCCCATACTTCTACTTCTCTATCAATTTAGCATCAAGGTCCTACGTGAATTCAAGTGGCATCTATTATACATAAATACGTCATTCATTAATATATTTTGTAGATGATCTCATATTGAGAAAATCAATAAATTCATTCGCATTGGATTTAGACATACTTGAATCCGATTTGAAAACTCCGATTTAAATATCTAGGGCATCTTATTCTTATAGTACATGTTTAGTCTTAAAAATCAAAAATTCGGGCTGAATAGCTTAATTATATGTTGTTTTTAGTAAATTACATATGAATTTTCACTCAATCTTGTTATACCTTTATATATAGTCCAAATCATATCACAAGTCTAACTGGGCTAGACCCAATAAATCAAGCAAGTTAAGAGGCAGTCCAAGTCCGTTTTATTAATCCGACCTAATCTAAGATTCAAGGAGTCCACAAAGGAATGAGCACGTGAGAAAGAGATCATTGGAATGGATATGCAATGTTTAATTGTACTTATTTTTTATAATTATTCTTCTCGAAGAAGTAGTACTTTCACACTCACGTCACCACCTCACCATACCTATAAGTTGTAATCTCTCTCCACATGGAGGAGCATCTCCCATTACACATCTCTGCACACACATACATTCTTTCTCCTAACTATTGTACCTCTCCCGGAGCATACATCTCTCGGAGCTGTCTCTCTTACTTTATTCATCAACAAAGAGCTCTCGACCACCGTTGTTGTTTTCTAAGAGTGGAGTAGGTCACCTGAACTGAACCACTATATATATATATATATATGTTGACCTAATATTTATTGTTTTGTCATTGGTTATTTTATTAATTGTCTTATTTATTATATCACATCACACACTCGACTATTGGTCTTGCACGAGACAGTTTTGTTCTTCATCAACAAACAGATTAGATAGCTAAATACAAATTGTAATCTTGGAAATATGATGTAATGGTTTGAATTTAGATGTATATAATCACTTTATGCTGTCAGGTAGCTCGAGCATAAGATGAACAGGGTTACGTTGTTAGAGCACATAAACATAAATAATGAATGTGGGTTAAAGGCTTTAATCTTCTTGGCTATGCAATTATTGACAGCAGTTAGTATTAAAGCTTAGTTGTGTAACCTATCCCCTTAATAAAAAAGCTAATAATACAAAATAATGAGCACAGCACTAATGAATAATTACTAATGAATGCTTTAATTTCCACTTTTGTAAGAAAAATTTGTGCGTTACACTTCTACAGGAAGATTATTAGGCCAAGGAAAGCATGGATTGCATGGCTATGAGAAGACTTAGATATGTAAGACTCTATTTTAGTTACAGAAATACTATTTTCATGAATTGAATTCTTGACACTCGAATCATAATAAAGTAATTTTACTACTATGCCAAAACCCGTCTCAAAGCATCAATAGTGGGTGTTTTTACAATTGTTATGGTACCGGAAATAATGATAAAAATAATTACCACAACAGTAATAAAAACACTTACAAAAAGGGTAAAAACTTACACAAAAGTTGTTATTTCATTTTTCGCGATTCAATCTGATTCACAAGATTTCTATCATTGTAAATTTTGAGAAAAGTTATACATGTGCAATCTTATCTTATTTACAAAGAGATTATTTTCATAGATGAAACTCATAACACCTTAATATATATCTATATTACTAGTAGAAATATTTTACATGAAAAATATTTGATTCATTATTTTACCTTTATAAAAAATTATAAAGACTAACATGTCTCTTGAAGAGCCTCGTCGTATGTTGAGTTTGACTATACTAAATGAGTTGGCGTATTTGAGTATTGACTCTCCTCGTTGGTACAACTAGAGATGAGATTAAGCTTTCACCAGTCAAATGCCTTTTATATTTAAATAAGCAAATTACTACTATATCCTTCTATATTTAAATAACAAATTAACCTATAATATATCATATAAATTTCTATCTTTGAAAAATTTTAGAAGGGCATGTTACTCTTAACAGGATATATAAAAACATTATTTTTTTTCCAAAACCCCAATATTAATACATATTAATAATTTCATTGATACAATATTATTTTCGATGCCAAAAAATTGGTATATGCATTTTTTCTCTTCATGTACAATACAAACAATTTAAGTATGATAAATATGAAATAATATCTAATTTAACTATATAATTAAATTTTTATGTATTTTGTCAAATAGTTTAACGAAACCTTTCCCGTGCAACGCCGCACGGGTTGCATTACTAATCATAATAAAATAACCTTACTACTATGCTAAAAAAAACCCTCACAAGATCAATTAAGTAGGCCATACAAGGGCGGAGCTACATGTAAATTGATACGACAATAAAGGTATTTTCAATTTATCTCATTGTCCCCCTAAAATTTTTGAAAATTTAAATACTGGCCTTAGTCTTTTTTGTCTTCAATAAGTTAGTGGTTCACTTGTTTTTCTAATCTACTAAAACAATTGTTTTTTTATTAAAATAAGTAGTAAAAAGCATGTGCATGTAATTCTTTAACTTATTATATATATTAGCCAAATACAATTTCTCTCTTATTTAATACAATTTCTCCTATTTTTTAATATTATTGTATAATAACATACGAATAGATGCAAATGATAAGTTATGCACATTTATGCCCTTCCAAAAATATCAATTTCTCAACAAGATTGAAAAATTACTTACAAATTTATCATAAAATTGATTAATTATAGACATTCTTGAGATTTAAAACAAAATAATCCTTCTAAAAATATTAATTTCTAAACAAGGTTAAAAAGAAATTGTTATTGTAAAATTGATTAGTTTTAAACAATTTTTGAGATTTTAAACAATATCATTGTGTTTCTCTTTAATATATAGTTGAGTTGAAATTTGTCACTAAAAAAATTATTGTTCTTGTTTGTTCATATTTTGTAAAATACTGAATTGATTTATTTTTATATAAATTATGTTAATATGTTACTCATAGTTGAACATTGAAAAAAAAATCTGCAATATTTATTAATCCTTATTATTGGAGGTGGGAGAGAATTTTTTATACCAATTGATTAACCTTTTTGTTTATACTTTTACCCCCACTAGAACATAATCATGCTCTTGAGGCCTCAGAGATAAATACAATTACACACACATTATATATATATATATATATACATGCACATGCATGAGTAGGCCAGTTTAATAAATGCGACCGTGCACGACCTCTTACATAATAATTGCTCTAATTACGTTCACATACGTTCATTTATAGCTAATCTTCTTCCTCCCATATGTATCCCTCTCTCAGTCTAGAATATTTCCTCCTCAGTCTATGTATATTTGATTCATTCCATGCAAAGTGGCAACTCAGTCGTTAGGTACTCCAAAAATCCAGAAAAATAACTCTCTCTCTCTCTCTCTCCCTCTAGATCTCTATACATGGGAAGTCAGTCGCTTAAGGGTTGGTCAATAGATGAAGTAATGACAACTGAAGAAGATGAAGAGTCATTCTCATTTCCAAGCCAATTGCCTCCAATAGATTTCAGGTAACATTAGGGTTTTGTACTCATGATTTATACAAGTTATCAGAGACTACTAGTTTATGAAGATTAATTTTTTTTTTTAACCTATATGTGTTGTAATTTGAAGTGGATATTGGGCATTTGATTGTCAACTTGATTTTCCAATACAAGAGACTGCTTCAGCGTGGATGGAGATGTATCAAAATGATCCTCTTTATACATCTTTGGATCTTGTACCACCCCAACATGACTTCCAAGGTGATATTATCGGATACTAACCACCACGGTATTAAACAGTTATTTTTGGAATTATACTGAAAATTACAACAAAACAAGGGTGAAAACACCAACAAAAACCTATTTTCTTGTAGTAGAAGATAGATTCAATCTGATGAAGTTACGAAGAAACAAGAATGTTTGGGATCCACCCTAATATTTTAGGATTGATCTTGCTTTTTAAGAACTACAACTTGACTTTTCAACCTGCTATTGCAGAGGATTTCTTTTGTGATTTTGGAAGTGGGTTGGGTGTTTGGAATGAAATAAGTGCTTATATCAAGCCACAGAGCCAACTATTGTTGTGTGATAATAGAGTGCAAACCCATGAAGAGTCTGAAGGAGAGAAGATCAAGAGGTGCAGAGAATATAATAATGGAAGTTCTAAAAGTTTGTCTCGAAAAACAATATCTCAGTACTTCTACATGCCAATAACACAAGCAGCAAAGGAGCTCAACGTTGGGTTGACTCTATTGAAGAAAAGGTGTAGGGAGTTGGGAATTCGTAGGTGGCCTCACAGGAAGTTGATGAGCCTCCGAACCCTAATCACCAATGTGCAGGTATTTTCACTAAATGTAACAGTAATATTATATTATCAGTATCAATAGTTAATTATAAAATACTATGTAGATTCAATGGACTATGGTATTTCAATACATTAAATGAAATAGTGCAGTTCACTAATCGTACATGTTGTTTTTATTATTTAATAATACGTATCATGCTTAAGTATGTATAAAAAAAAATTTAACTCATGTCTGACTCTTTTTTAATCTCTAAAGCTAAATTTGGGTCGTGAATACATTGTATTTAGTTAGGTTCTTGGGATAGTATGTTTACAACCAAACCCGTTAAGACTAAACTCAAATTCACTAATTTGGTTTTGATTTCATTTTGTGTCATGTTCGTGAAACGTGTTTATAATCAGGCTCATGTATGACTATGTACAACATAGATAGTGATGATTTAAGAGACTATGGGTTTTGCAGGAATTGGGGAAGAAGGAAGGAGAAGAGGCTGAAGAAAAGGTGAGAGGGGCCCTAGAGATATTGGAGCAAGAGAAGAATTTAATGGAGAAGATACCAGATAAGCAACTTGAAGAGAAAACTAAGAGGCTCAGACAAGCATGTTTCAAGGCAAACTATAAGAAGAAGAAGCTTATGGGGATGATGGAATCGAACTCATCTTAGAGCAGTAACTAGGCATGCATGAATGTGAATATGATATGAAGTTTCTCTTGGCAGTGGATTGTGATTGTAAACAGGTTACTATGAAGGGTTTATATTTTACACGTTGGTAAATAGTTCAAGAATATGTGAAGTTAAGAGAAGTTACACATTATTTTGGTAAGAAAGAGAAGTTAATTACACATTAGGATCTCCAAAGTATGCCTTTTCTTTTCAACCTAAGATGAAATAAAGTTGTATATCCTTCAACACTAATGGTGTATGAATAGTATATGGTGAGCTAGAATTACAATCAATCTATACTATGACTGGACAAGTATAAAAAACTAAATTAGGGTTAGAATTGGTGACGTACCCCAATTAATTGTGAGACATTATTAATCCAATGATAGAGAGTAATAATTAACAAATAAAATTACTCTTTTTTGACACCTAGGATTTGTTTGGATGAATTTTGGGGTCTGTAAATCCTTTCAAACCTAAACCTCTATTTATAAAGATAGGATTCAACATTCAATTTGATCTATACTCATGTTTGTTCTGCAACTTATACAAATGTAGGATTTACGGATATACCATAGTTATTAACAACTATTTATCATGTAAATAATTATTTTATCCTTAGTCAATTCAATTCATACTCATGTTAAGGGGTACAATTATCTTTTGAATCCTTAACCTTTTATTCATCTTTCAAGCCCACCCCCTCTCTAAATTTGACGAAACTCATGATCATGAGTTAATCTTCGGGCCAACTACAATTTGAATTTAAAAATCTAAAATTAAATTTTTTATACAATTATAGAATTTAGGGGAATTTTGAATTATTTTTTCAAAATTCATCTTGTCAAGCCGGTACTCCCTTACCGTACAGTCCCTACAACATTCGTGAGTAAGAAAGGGAGATTTGCTACTGATCTAATGACTAGAACCTTTAATGTCAAAAAGTTCAAATTTCGAAACCGTGAAATCTTAGTAGTCGCAGGTTGAAGCTCGGAAGAAAAGAAACAGCGGACCCCAACTTATTGATAGCTTGACATAACGGTAATTCAAAATTTTTTCCCTACTCCTTACATTTGAGCCAACCGTTACTGGCTTGCTAGGTGATACTACTCTGTCCAACCACAGTTGATGCGACTGAGACTGAAATTAAACACACAAAATGAGAGTAATTTCTGTACACCATCTTCACTCCCACCTTCCCTCTCTCTCCTCCCTCAACCTCCACCGCCATTTCGCCTCTGAAGCTCTTCAGCTTCACCATGACCAGCGTCATCCTCACCCACCAAACAACCCAACGATCACACAGTCCATTCAACGAAATCAACTCCAAGCACAACAATTCTCAAATACCCATAAAGAAGAAACACTAATTTCCCTCATAAAATCATGTACGCAAAAGACTCATTTACTCCAAATCCATGCCCATCTCGTCCGTACATCCCTCTTTCAAAACCCCAATATTTCTCTCTCCTTCTTATCCCATATCGCACTCTCGTCTTTGCGTGATATCCACTATTCCCATAGTGTCTTTACTCAAATATTGAATCCCAATGTTCCCCACTATAACACAGTGATCAGAGCTTATTCAATGAGCAATATCTCACCAGGAATGGCCTTTGAATTGTTCCGGGAAATGCTAAGAAGAACCTTACGTCCAAACCCATTAACTTCTTCATTTGTTACGAAGTCCTGTATTAGGAGTTGTTCATTTTTAGGCGGGTTACAGATCCATGCTAGGATATTAAGAGATGGGCATCAATCCGATAGCCTTTTGCTTACTACTTTGATGGAATTTTATTCATCTGGTGAGAAGTGCAATGAAGCTTGCAAAGTGTTTGATGAGATGTGTCACAGAGATACTGTTGCTTGGAATGTGTTGATTTCTTGCTATACTCGTAATGGCCGTACACGTGATGCTTTGACTGTGTTTGATATGATGCAAAATTCGCAATGTGGGTATAAGCCAGATGAAGTGACTTGTTTGCTTGTACTTCAGGCATGTGCTAATTTGAATGCTTTGGAATTTGGTCAGCGGGTTCATAAATATGTTGAGGAACATGGATTTGGTAATGCTGTTAATCTCTGTAATTCGCTTGTAGCAATGTATTCACGGTGTGGATGTTTGGATAAGGCTTATGATGTATTTAAGGGAATGGGCAAGAAGGATGTAGTTTCTTGGAGTGCAATGATTTTGGGTTTGGCGAGTAATGGGTATGGAAGGATGCTATTGAAGCCTTTAGAGAGATGCAGAGGGTGGGTGTTGCCCCAGATGATCAGACTTTTACAGGTGTTCTTTCTGCTTGCAGTCACTCTGGGTTGCTTGATGAGGGTCGGATGTTTTTCGATTCCATGATCAAGGAGTTTGGGATAGTGCCTAATGTCCACCATTATGGGTGCATGGTTGATCTTATGGGCCGTGCCGGTCTGCTTGATGAGGCCTACCAGCTTATTCTTTCAATGGGCATCAAGCCAGATGCTACTATATGGAGGACTCTTCTTGGGGCTTGCCGAATTCATCGCCACACTTCCCTAGGAGAACGGGTAATTGAGCATTTGATTGAATTTAAGGCTCTAGAAGCTGGGGATTATGTTTTGCTATTGAATTTGTATTCTACGGTGAATGACTGGGAGAAGGTGATAGAAGTGAGGAAATTGATGAAGGAAAAAAAAATTCAAACTACCCCTGGTTGTAGTACCATTGAGTTGAAAGGAGAAATACATGAGTTCCTTGCTGATGATATTTCACATCCACGAAAGAGGGAAATATATGAGATGCTGGATGAGATTGGAAAGCAACTGAAAATTGCAGGTTATGTTGCTGAAATAACATCAGAGTTGCACAATTTGGGTGCAGAAGAAAAGCAGATTACTTTATCTTATCACAGTGAGAAGTTGGCCATTGCTTTTGGAGTTCTTGCAACGCCGCCAGGTACAACCATAAGAGTGGCAAAGAACCTCCGGATATGTGTAGATTGCCACAATTTTGCAAAGATACTTTCTGGGGTTTATAATCGAGAGGTGATCATTAGAGATCGCATCCGCTTTCATCACTTCCGAGAAGGACACTGCTCCTGCAATGACTACTGGTGAAGAGAACACATGCTAAACACTAGTCTGCAACATGGAATATCTGTCATCAGATTGAAAAATACAAGGTCAGTTGGAACATTACTTTTGACCTCTTATGTTGATTATGGCTACGGAAAATTTTGGTTCTGGGTAGGGATTTTCCAAAGAATTAAAAACAAACAAGTTATCGGAATCAATACCAGCAATCTCTACCACATAACCAAGAACAAAGTGGATGGATCACGTTGAAGGCATTTAGCTAAGTGGCATCTTTCCCAGTGATTCACATGTGGTGCAATGAGATTTCCTTGGGACAATTTTTGCTGATTCAATGGATGTTAAAGAAAACAATTTAATGGAGATAAAACATGATAAAGCCTGAAATGAGGGTTTTGCCTCTTTTTCAGTGGAATGGAAGAACAAAATTTCCTCAGAGGAACTTAAAGAGTGAACAAAGTTTTTATTTCAAGAAAACTGAGTTCTGTTGAAGTTAGACCTTGACTGAATCATTTGTGCGTTAACCAATAAATTGAAGAAAGTATCTCTGTATTACTAATTTTAGCCTCAGTTCATTTTTTGGATCTTTATTTTGCTCTCAAGCATTGGAACTGAGTCTCTGATCCTTGATGCAATCCCTAAGTTGCTTCAATCAGAGAAGTTCTGGAAAAACCTGGTGGGATACCATGTCAAACAGTCCTGATCATGTATTCTTGTCACTGGTTGATCGATTTTCTTGGTCCCAAATTCCTCAAACCATCTAAGTTCAATCGATTTCCTTTTGTGATTACTTAATCGAGTTTGAGAAGAGTTGTAGTCTTGGAACACGTTGGAGGTGGTTTATTTTCGGCTGCCTTGGGTATTATACTGATGTTTGGGATCAAATTCTGCGAAAAAATTGCTAGTATCTTGGATGTCGCTGAATGCTGTCTGTATATTGGATATGTTGATTTCCTTTCTCAAGTAATTTGTTAGTGGACAGGTCCATCCTGAGAAGTTTCAGTAAACATGTAAGAAACTAAATGTCAATCGCCTACAGTTCCAGTTCCATATCATGTGATTTTTTTTCTTTCAACTTGTTTTATTTGTAGCTTGCTGTTTTTAAGGGGGTTACTGAACAGGGCTTGTTTTGACTTAATGGTAGATATAACATGGTTTACATATTGGGTTTAATGAAAATTGCCAGACCTTTTCACCTTTACTATGGTTTCTCCAAAACTTCATCCTGCAGGCCTTCAAATTGTCATGTCTTTCCTACTATTATATTTTTGAGCTAGGTGAGTTGTGTGTGTATTTGACTCAAATCACAGTGATATAAATTGCATTTTGCCCCGTAAGAATTGTGCAAACTCTCCAAAGAAATTTATGCGTTTGTATTGAATGTATTCGGTCAATACGATCATTATTTGAAACACTTGTTATGAAAAATTTAGTTCAAAAATCCTCTTTTCTTTTTCATTTTTTGACCTTTTTAGGCGATATAAGTACTTTGTTTAAATCTTGCATCTGTTCCTGCGATTGTCATTAGCTATCCACATTTTTTCTATGTTATGCAGATTTAGACTTGCACTATCTGGAGAGTTGGCCCATAGCTTATCTTCCTCACAAGGCAACTAAAATAATCTCTAGTGGTGAATGTGGAATCTGTGATTGTAGGGAGTGAGCAAAGCTATGGTTGATCGAGTTTAAACGAGGCACGGGATTATGAACGGAAAAATAACAAAAAATCGGATTCATTGGAGGAGGCTTATTATGAGTATGAGGAAAAAAAATATATATGATAAGAAACATTACTCCAAATAAGTTTTTCTATTATTTTCCTTTTCTTATTCATGTATTTGTTCATGGCTGCCTCCAACATCCTCTCTTTAGCAGAATTGAATGGAAGTAAATGGTTAACCATTAGGGCCTATTTGTTTATTAGGTTTTTTTTGGGGGTTAAGAAAAATAATTCGATAGGCTCCATAATCTTGTGCTTGGTTAACACTTTTAAACCCAAAATTCATATCCTAGCCCGTAAGGGACCTGGTGTATTAAACCCACGTACATGGGGGGGGGTTCATTTATCCTAGTCTAGGTTAACTATGTCAACTGACCCAACCATCCTTAATAAAATATCCTATCTTCTAAATCACATCCCAATCTCCCTAATTACTCCTCTCTGTAATTAAACAAACATGAATATCGATTGAATTGACCAATGAGTAATATAATCATTTACAAAACAAATGTGTTAATAATTGTGATTAATTCGTAAGTCCCACGTGTGTATATATTACTTACCAAACACAAATATGGATAAGATTTATATATGAATCTCATATACACAAATGTGGGATTTTGGTTTAAAGAGGTTTGATAAAACGAATCCAATCCCTCACCCCAAAACCACCCCCATGTTGCCCTAATGGAATGACCATTCCTTATGTAAGTTGCTAACATTAATCCTCAAGGGTGTGGGTGAGAGAAGTTCGGTTCATTTCATCCAAATAAGAAACATCCAATTTTCAGTGCTCCGGCGCACCAGCAATGTTATTAAAGTACATATTAGTCATACTAACAAAATTCTGCAACAGTACTACACTTTGACTCTCCACTTGTCTATATCAGACGCCATATTCAACAAAAAAGGAATCGCAAATGTGTTACTTCAAGCAGTCTACAAAATTGAAAACAGTGATTCAGTTATGAATCTGCATGATATGCCGAACTACTTTATTCCTCTTATGTAAATTGTTTCGGGCATCAAGTCTAAGCGGCCACTGGTTGCTTGTGAACAAAAGATATCCCCTTCTCGATACTGGCTTTCAGTTCTGGCTTGAGGGCCTCCAGGGCCTTTTCTTCATACTCGGTCAGTCCCTGAAGGTCGGATGAGATCACAGCTTCAACACCCTTCCTTCCTATCTTAACCCTCGATGCAAAGAATGGAAGCTCAGTCAGCTCTGACTGGATGTAGCAACACTCATAGACATCACTATCTCCATCAAGAGCACGGAGAGAGGACTCAACAAATCTTGCTGCTGCATATGCCATAGACAGTGTAGCAGACCCTGCACCGGCTTTTGCCTCCACCACTTCTGTTCCAGCATTTTGGATCCTTACTGTTAGTTCTTGCACTTCTTCATCGGTGAAACTGGCAGAGGGTTTTGTCTTTGACAGCAGGGGTAGGATAGTTATACCAGCATGTCCCCCAACAACTGGAACATCAACATCAATGAGCTTTAGGTTCTTCTTCTGTGCAACAAATGTGTTTGCCCTCACAACATCGAGAGTGCTAACACCAAAGAGCTTCTTTGGATCATATACACCCTTCTGCTTCAAAACTTCTGCTGCAATTGGCACTGTAGAGTTAATAGGGTTGCTAATAATATGGATGAAGGCATCAGGACAGTTTTCGGCAACAGCCTCAACCAAGGTCTTCACTATGTTGGCATTGATGTTGAAGAGGTCATCCCGAGTCATTCCTGGCTTCCTTGCAACACCAGCAGGTATGACAACTACATTTACGCCTTTCAAGGAATTGGCCAATTCAGAGGCTCCTGTGAAATCCAAAACTTGTGAGGGAGTATTGCAGTGACTGAGATCAGCTGCAACTCCCTTGACATTTGCTATATCATACAGGTGCAGCGCTGAAACTAATGGTGACATCTTGATCAGAAGTGCTAGTGGCTGGCCGATACCCCCAGCAGCTCCTAAAACTGCCACTTTGTAAGAAGCCTGAGGCTGAAGGTTATTCCAAGATCTCCGATTTTGTTTTTGCGCTTTTGGTTTAACTGAGTGCCGAAGAGCTGCGGTACTTTCCTTGCCTAAGAAGGATGATTCTGATTCACAGCTTATGGATGATACTCCCTTGAGGCCACTGAAACTCAGAAAGCTCCTGGTGTTCAATCTCATGCCAAAGGCCTTTGATTGTGAAAGTGAGCTCCCTTTGGGACTAAATGACATAGTTGATCCAATTGAAAAGGTAGTTGCTGATGTTGCTGCCATCCTGCTCCCTGTGAAAGGAAGGTATTTCAAGGCCTTGTGTATGGACTATATGATTAGAGATCAGAAAGGAAATTTACCACCTTGCTATCCCTCTATATAAATGAGAGAACAGTTAATACATCAAAATTTCCAAAAAGAATAATATTATAGAGAAGCATGCCAGATTATACAAACAGGTGCACAACTGATTCACAGGTAATACTAGATTATAGATGCTTGATAGATATGTGCAACTACACTTTGGTATTTAGGTATCAGCCAACAAGAAGTTTGCGGGTCTGAATGAAAATTTCAAGACACAGTTTAACAAGTGACTACAGCAATCAGTAATCAGAAAATATAATAAACAACTGTAACATTAACCACAGAAAAACCATTGAATTTGAAACCATTTCAAAGCTCACCCATATAATGCTAAACTTTGATGCCAATGAAAATGAAAAGAGAAGCCGTATTACCACCTCTCAAAACTAGAATCTATATCACATGTTGTTTGTCTAGAAAGCTCGATACGAATATGGCAATATGACAAAATCTCAAAAAATACGATACGGGTACGGCTTGCATATATATACAAACTTAAATAAGCGTATAACGCATCATCGAAATGAATAGCAAAGACGGACTCATATAGCCATCCCAAATGATTGGGAAATAACGCTTGGTTTGGTTTGATTTGGTTTATATATATATATATATATATATATATATATAGAGAGAGAGAGAGAGAGAGAGAGTAGTGCTATCATGGAAACTATGCATCATATCCTCTGATTGTGATACAAATTCTATTGGGAAAGTACATTAATTTATTCTTTTTTTAAATCAAATCTTTTAAAAGTAAAAACAATATTTTTTTAGTCTTATCAAAGCTTGTTATATTGTTAATCCAGTGACCTTGACCAATTAATCACTATTATTTCAGCAATTTTTTTTTATCTTATCCAAGTGCATTATAGAAAACTATTTCATCCCTATTTGGATTAGCCCTACTATTTAACTAAATAGGAAAGTTCAACCACATATTGATTTGGTTGTTAAGAGACTGCCACGGAGATTTGTTGAAGGTATAAGTAAACTAATTTGCAATCCTCTAAGTGCAAAGTAGGAGGAGGCTATAGCATCAAATTTGCTACTAAGTTAGGTTTCCGTTTCAACAAGATCTGTTTAGAAGGTGACTCCAAGAATGTTATTGAAGCAATATGCCAGAGGGGACCCAAGCATTCTGATATTGGGATTTTTGTTGATTAGATTCACAAGTACACAGATCAATTCACAGAGTTCTCAGCTAAATGGATCAATCGAGACGGCAATTCTACTGCTAATGATTTGGCTAAGTATGCTACTAATTGTACGGGCATGAGATGTTGAAGGAATGTTTGTCCTGATTTTTCGTACCCTATCATTCATAAGGAGAGAATTCCTAGTTGATGAAATAAAATTCGTTATCGTTTCAAAAAAAAAAAACCACATATTGATTGTGATACAAATTCTATTGGGAAACTACACTAATTTATTCTTTTTTGAAATCAAATCTTTTATAAGTAAAAACAATATTTTTTAGTCTTATCAAAGCTTGTTATATTGTTACTCTAGTGACCTCAACCAATTAATCACTATTGTTTCAGCAATTTTTTTTATCTTATCCTAGTGCATTATAGAAAACTATTTCATACCTATGTGGATTAGCCTTTTCTTGGTCTATGGTCAATACCAGTGCACTAATAGGTTTTTGTCACAATTTTAGCAATATAAATACACTTTTGTAATTCTATGAGAAACTATTAAAGTCAATGAATTAGGTTTCATATGTTATTTAATCCACATGATTTCGAATAGAATATATCATACAAAAGAATCTCTTAAAATTGAGCCTAAAATGGTTATGAAAAATTGAAAATCGTTAAGTCAAAAACATTTTTATTATCAGTATAATAATAACGTAATTTTAATTTAAATATACTTTACTAATAGAATTAGTTTCACAATTAATATATGGTTGAATTTCCTATTTGGTTAATAGTCAAATCTGGTAAGTTTTGACATTTAATATAAGGTTTATTTGATTAGAGGCCCTTAGATTAGGATCTAACAGTTCACATAAAAAGTTCTCACTAGAGACTATAGTGCATAGTTTTTATGATCATGCTAATATATATGTGTGTGTGTGTATTTTAGAATGTTATTACAATACTAGAGATGCAAGGGATTAAAAAATAAAACATACTCAAACTAAAATAGTTTATGTTATTGATATAGGATTGTTTAATGGTGTTTTAAATTCAAGAATCTATGTAATTCTAAAGTTGAAAACGTGTCATCCTTCGAGACTCCTCAATTTTTACTTAACATTTAATTTCAATAGACTTCATTGGCTTTAACATAAACCATAAAAATTTATTATTCAAGTCAACCAAATTGTAAAAAATTGATAAATCTTGTGATATATGTGATGCACGTCCAAATGAATATCTTAGAATGAGGAGTCCCCATTTGTATGATTCACGGTTTCTAAACAACCCACCTCATTAAATATAAGACGAGTGTATTCGCTGTGGAGATACGTGTATCCAAAGTGTGTCCAACAACTATCCAACAATGATAAAAATTTTATTAATTATTCATACATGCAGAAAGTATTTGATGTGTATCCGCAAGTATCTAACGAATATTGATATCCGATATGTATCGAATACGAATACGTCACCCCGATTAAAGTATCCATGCATCAGAGTTGTTCATCTTAAGAAGCCATCATAGTTTTCACACCAGAATTAAGATCCAAAGGGAACAAGATACATTAGGTCATATGTAAAGAGAACACTCCAAACTGCGCATTTTAAAGTTAGAGGAGTGAATCACAACCATGGGAAAGTTTGGTTATTTAGAAATAAAAACTTAGCAACGCATGGTGACAAACTGTCTATTTATTACAAACTTCAATGGCAAAATGAGTGAAATATCTCTTATACATCAATGGAAAAAAGGAAGCATATCCCTTTGGTATGGTGATGGATTGAAGATAAGAATCGAAACTTCTGTTGCAGCCATAAGTTTAGCTTGCATTTTGGAAACCTGGATTTGAATTTGGCAATCACATTTTAAATCCATGAATTCAGAAAGAATAGATTTAAAATGCAAGGATTCTAAGTAAGTTTTTCAGATCAGTAATCTAACTTAAAGGATTTGATCAAGTAAGTAAATGTCCAATTAAGTATCCATAGTATATTCGGTTGCCACACAATCTGATAATCCAACAACAAAAGAACACCCAAGAGAGAAAAAGGGGGTGGGGGAGCAGTTGACTATCCCGAGATCCTATACCAAGATCCAGAGGCATGTGTCTCAAAAGTAATAAAGCTATATAGAGTCTACTCAATCCATCATATATAGTCTACTATTTGTATCACGACAGAATCAAAGACGATTTGGGGCTCCAAAATATACATAAATCATCCACTATTCACATAGCTGCAAAAATAGCTGAATTTCAAATTCACCCCCAGCCAATCCCCAAATCCAAATGTAAGCAAGAAGCAGAGAATCAATAAATATCCAGAGAACTAAATTATAGATAACGAAAAGCATTTCACAAGAAAATTTGCCAAACCAGTTGGAGATGTGAGTGAACAGGGTAAAATACATCAAATCCACACAAACCGCATCAAAATTTCAAGAATCAAGAACGACATATCCAAGAGAATTGCATCGGATTAGAAATTTTTTTGTTACCTCAGAGAATATTCTAGAGCTGAATCGAGAGGGTGCGAAGATGAAGCTGTGAGAGAACTTTTCAGGTGATTGCTTGTGACCGAGGATTAAAAAGGCGCACACACACAGTCTCTTTCTCTGGAGTTGGTGTTGACATTGTTTTTTCTCCGCCGTGAGGCCTCGAAGTAATCTAACGGATTGGGTAAAATAATTTGGGCCCACAAAACCCAACTTTGAATCCACAATATTTAATAGGATAATTATTGGGCTTAAAAAATCGGCCCGTATGCTTTGGGGCCACTTATTCCCCCTGAACCGGGTACCTTTAACGCAGAACTTTGGGATATCTAAGTCCACCGATAGGATTTGTGGCGTAATTACCTAAAGGCCCTTCTACAGTAATTTATCTAATGTTTTTACAATTTTACCTCCTTTTGTCTCCATTTCACCAAACTGGTCCCTCGCTGTTTGCACCCCCTGGTCCCTCCTCACAAGGCCAAAGGTATTTCTCTCTGTCGCTCTCCTCTCTGTCTGTTGTGCGTCTCTATTTTAGGCATTTTTTACAATGGTCGACGGTATTGCCTCCATTTTTGGCGTGAACCACGAAGTCTCAGAACATACCATGGCTTGTCCCTCTCTCTCTGTGTCCATCTGCCTCTCTGTTACGCGTAGAGTTCCTTCGCATTGCAAAGATATTGTAATGTCAATAAGGGATTGGACAAAGTCGTCGAACTTGGAACGAAGCCACGTACGGTAGATGAACTCGGGGTCAGGGGCTTTTTGGACGGAGCTGATGGAAGGCTTAGAGGACGAAGATGGGAGGTTGGGGAAGATTGGCTCTAAATTTGTAGTTTCTCCTCCACCACGTTATAAATTACTCACTAACTCAAAGATCTGATAAATTTATTTACTTTTATCCAACCAGAAATTCGGGTTATTGAGATTTCATTCTACTGATTTAAAATTTAAATTCAATCCAATCCGATCTATGACTGATTTGCAAACACCCACAACAGTGTGTAGAGCCAAGCCAAGCAAGTGTCGTGCTAAAGAAAGGCAATCACAACCGTTAGATGAGAAAGAAGGTCATTAAGATTAATGATACTAAAATATTATTTATTGATATGGTATAATAACAAAAAATTATGATTTAATTATGTAACTAATTAAGTTATTAGTCATTGATTACTCATTGATTAAGTTATGTAACCTAATTTTTTTAACTTAAAAAATGAGTCTCACATCTCAAAAATTTATCTAAATATTAGTTATGTTACTATTTTAATTGATAGAACAAAAAATAATGGAATTGACACATTTTAATATATTAAAAATTATTTAAAATATATATAAGTAATATCTTTTCAAAAAGAAATCAAGGTGGAACCGTACCCGCTAGTCCTCATGTGGCTCTGCCCATGGTCCCATGTGTATTAATTGTAGATAAAATTGAATAAAAGTGTAATAGAAAAAATTTAGATATTACATTTAATTATCTAAAAAATTTGCAGACAATGTTTGTGTACTGAAGTCCTCTCTTTAGGGGTGGTTTCACTAACCCCACATTTTGGGGCTTTTGGTCACCTTGTCACAGGATAGTGACTGAAACGGGCATGTAAACTTAAGTGTCAAAATGCAAGGGTGTAGTTTAAAATGGAAGAATTGATTTTTTTTATTAAATTAAATTTTGTTTCTATTCTTATTCATTTGCACTGTATTTAGTAGGTAGTAATAAAGTATGAGAAGAAAATGGTCATTACTTTGTAATACTCATTCTGATATTTGGTATATAGTAATAAAAATTTATTTTCATTATCATGACATACCTAATTTCACAAATATAGGATTTATAATTCTTTAATATTTAGAAGTATTTTTCATTCTCAACTACCAATCACTAATTGTCACCACCACCACAACCACCAACCCACCTTCAAGGTTCCAAGGTCCGAGGTCTGATCTAGGGTTCGAGTTTGGATCTAGGGGTTAAGGGCGGGTCGGGGTCGGGTCAGGGCCGGGGGTCTAGTTAATTCTAGGGTTGCGGTGTCCAGGTTTTACATCGCGTCCGAGTTCGAGGTCGTGTTCAAGTTGGGGGTTAGGTCATTGGTCCCAAGTCATGTTCAAGTTTAAGGTCCAAATTCGAGTCCAAGTTTAGGATCAAGGTCAAATTTGTCTGAGTTTGACATCGGGCCCAAGTTCGGGGTCAAGTCAAGTCCAAGAATTATTCAGAGTGAATTTTTAATTCTATTCTAATATTTAATCTTACTTGTTGTGAAACATTAAAATTGTAATATAGCATAAATGTATTCTACAAATCAGTTATCATCTTTAGACACCTAAACCCTCAATAGCCCACAACATTAAGGCCCAAAATTTTGAAACTAAGAATTACAGGGCTTTACCCAAACGGAACCCTTCCCAAAATTCTCTAAGGCTTAGGCCAAACCAAGGCCCAAGAGGGGGTTTAGAAATAGTTTTCAACTACCAATTGACCCGCCTCGATTATTACCTCACTAGTTGCGTCATTGTGCCAAGCGCGAAGATGTTTACTTGAATAGTCCAACCCTTTTTTTTTAGGCAATCTTCTTTTTGTACTTCTTACGTGCCTTTGATGTGAGACTGTATGCAATCAATTAATAGAAAAGATATAGGAGATGAAATTCATTCTATCTGTCTGTTGCTAACAATAAAAAGGGCGAAGGCAAGTTTATATCTGAGTCGGTTAGACAGGTTTCACGCCACTGCTAATTCTGAGAAAGAGTAAGATATATACAATTTTATTCTTGCACATTAAGAGATTATTTGTGGCTCAAATTCATGAAGCCCAAATCAAAATGGCGCAACTTTATGGTTACATTGAGATTATGACTTAGAAATTTTATTTCTTGCTTCCAAATTTTCAATTATTATTGGTGGTGGTATTTTGGTTTCTAGGGATGTATTTTTGCTTTTCAAGAGGCAAAGGAAATTGAAACAAGAGTTTTATGCATTTTCATGGGACCATCCATCATATCTCAATGGAATGGAAAAGGCATGGTGGTAAGAAAGTGGATGCCACCACCTCCTCCATTCACTTCCTCCACTCAACATAAAAGTAATGCTTGATTGCTATAGATATTGGTTTACCCTAACATGCATATTCTAAGGAATCTAGATCCCTTTATTTTGCTCTTAATAAATCACCTAGATAAGTGAGGGATTCAACTATATACATTGGATTTCACTTGAATTCATGCTAGATGATTTATCCAAAAAAAAATGAAGCAAAAAGATGTTAGAGAAATGTCAATTCATCTTTTAGCAATATGTATATACTCCAACCAATGTTATGGAGATTTGGTTGACCAACAACCATGTTGAAGTCAATTGCAAATTCTTTCTTATTTTTGTGTGGTTTCCTTTTAATTAGCGGAATCAACCTCTAATAACAACTAGACTATGAATCACTTATCTTTCTGTAATAGCAAACATGAGCATTGTGTTTTGAATACGAATTTTTTTCTTAAAAAAATATCTATAGTTTAGGTTGGTAAGAATTACGTTCACCAAAATGACAATAAGATTGTTTATCACTTAGGACATTACACAATCATGACAGACCTTCCTTATAATCCTTACCAGACCTAAGGGGTTCCGAGACATCTCGGCTCTTTCAACGGCTAAACTCATCAACATGTATTTTTGACATTTAATTTTTCGATTTTGAAATAATTTGTTTTTTTGAAAATAAATAGACTTGATGCAACAAGATTGACGTGTAGAGGGAAAGAAATTCAAGTCATGTTGATTGTGTTTCATTCCACGCATGCCCGGACATCTTTACATGCGGGTAAGGATGCGTATATTTCAAATCTCTTCAGATTTCATAAGAACAGAAGTTTTGTGCACTGAAGTGTAATTATGTGTCTACACGCAAAAAAAAAAAAAAAAAAATAAAAATATATATATATATATATATATATATATATATATATATACCTGATAAACTTAGTACCCATGAGAGTGATCCTAATTCAGACCCAAACTAAAAACACAATCTAACCAGGTCTAACAAAAAAAAAAAAAAAAAAACCAAAAGCAACTTGCACATGAAGCCTAATGTGATGGTGCTTCCGGTTTCTTAGAATACAAGGGCGGCTCACTGCAGGGTCTAGGGAGGGTCATATACACGCAGCAACTTTGTTACTGCGCCAAGGCTGTGGTATCAAATAAACAAAAGAACTTAAAATTTCTAGGGCCTGAAATCATCTGAATGGAGTCGAAGGCCAGGTATCACATTCAGAAACCCACTCCAATCTCTTGTTTACACCTTCCATACATGATACATCCTGATATCACTGTCAAAACCTGCACATATCTCTTATGAATTCTTGATATATATCTCCTAATTTCTACATCACTAAATGAGTAACATCTTACATATACGATCATAAGGAGAAAAATAAAGTTACATCTATTCTAAAAACAATACATGATATATATTTTTTCGTTGTACGATGTTCAGACTTACACCGACTATTCCCTTGAATTCAGCATCTCGAGGAAGACAAAATATAGTGACATATATATACTACCTAAGAAAACTAACAATCTGGACAGCCTTTCCCCGGTTCGGGCTTCGGGGTGTGGTGGTTATTAGCCCCAGGCCCTGGATAATCGTTGAGCTCCACAGCCATCCTTCTAATCACAGGATGTACCTCCCATCTTTCCTTGGACTTCTCCTGCTTATAGTAAGAGAAAAAAAAATTGTGTTAGTGAAAAATAGTATAAACCCGCATAGGTTGGTTAAGTAGTCGAACAAAGAGGCAAGTCGTAAAACAACATATATCCTGATTTCGAGTTACCTGACCACATGAAACGCGGGGATGCACGTTGGTTAATGGGTGATTACGTGCATTTTAAATTTACGTGGCAGCCATAAGTTACACGCATGTGGTTGCCACAATTTTTCGGTTTCCAAAAAGAAAAACATATAACATGGCTTAGTTTATTAAGTACCAAGCGGGTGTTCTCTGAAAGTTGATGACCTTGATATTGATGATCTAGACTTCTGATTCCTGCAAATTAAAACAATCTAATACCACATCATCAAGAAGAGAAGGATGCAGAAAGAGAAATAAAAGAGAGAGGAGAGTAGTTGAGGCTTACTTGAAATTGGGACAGCATTGATATTGCAGATAAGGTGAGAAAAACACAATAGAACTACTAGCAGGCGAAGAAAAGTGTCTGCCATGGCTCTCTATCAAAATTCTTTCTGTGCTTCCAATTGCTGTGAAATGTGAATGTTGTTTATTAATAAAGCTAACTAGCTAGCAGACTAGCACTCCATTACCACATTCTTATTGTGGTGGTAGCAGTCAAATCACCAAAGTCAAAGACGTGTTATCACCACGCAAGACATCTTGTGGAGGCTTACATAAACACGGTTTCAATCTTGGAAAGTCTCTCTCTCTCTCTCTCTCTCTCTCTGTGAACCAGAGTAATTCATGGTGATGGATTTTTTTTTGTTGAAGTGGAAGGTATGATGAGAAATAAGGCAAGTCAAAATGGAAACAAAGGATGAACACACTATGCAAGTGGAAAAGTGAATCATGTGGGGGCAAAAGCAGAGGGCTTCCACTAAACTTAGTCAAGGCCAAGTGGAGCATATAATTAATTAGATTTGACGGATACATATTGGAACTTTGTAAGTTCAACAATATTGCCACTACTATTGAATTTACAAATAACCCTACGAGTAATTTAAGTGGTAATACGAAGAATTTGTAAATTTAGACATTTTAAATTTGAACTTTGACATTTTTTTGGGATCAAGTAGAGGCGACTTAAGATAATTTAAGACCTAAGCATAAAATTAAACGAGGTCTTTTTTTAGTATTAATTTAAAAAAAAATAATAAATTTGTAATTTTTTATGTGAGAGAATAATAGAAGAAGAAATGTATCACTGTTGCCGAGAATGAGGTTTTAATTTTTGCTTGTTTTTTACCACGAGAATGAGGTTTTAACTTTTGCTTGTTTTTTACCACAGAAAGAGCGTTTAATTTCACATTTTATTTTTGTTTTTCACTTTAGAGAGAGAGAGTGTGTGTAAGTATATTTTCTTTTAACTTATGATTTTTTAGGTTTTTAATGTTATAAATTGGATCATGGGTCTAAATTATTACAATATAATTTTTGATTAGACTTAATTTTTTAGGGCTTGAAATTTAATAGATTTAAATTTTTTGTAAGTGCACAAAAACTTAAATATTCAAAAATAATTGAGTGCAAGAACGTCAAATTTATATGGATGACATTGCGATGAACACTAGAAAAGAGAATATCAAAATTATAATAAATAATATCAAAACACAACAGTGTCTTACATCACTAATAAGAGACTCGATATAATAGAAGCAAGCTGAATGGCAAGTGCTCTGTATAAGAGCACAGTTGTAAGCAACTTTGTCAATTTTTTTTTTTAACAAAAAGGGCTAATTTCAACTTTAAAGACCACTCAAATCCCAATTTATACTCTCAATGTTTAAAAATATTAATTTATACCATGAAAGACATAAATTCGTATCAATATACACCTGGGGCTAACTCCGTCCATTTTGCTGTTAAAATTTTTTTGGCTAATTATAAATTGTAATATTTCATATTTATGAACCAAAAAGAATTTTATTCATTAATACTCGTTAAATAACTCTTGATTATATCGTATCATAACATTTTCATGTCATGTTCGAGTTAAAAAATATATATATTTTTAAAAATTAAAAAAATAATATATAAATACCTATTTTTTTTCTACAATATTCGTTAAATACAAATTTTTTGATTGTTCGATCAAATTAAAGTTATATACGAATAACACAACTATAAATAAAAAATAGTTATTTAATGAGTATTATAGACAAAAAATAGATATTTTTGAATTTTTAAAAAAATATTAAATAGTATTATATGAATTTTCATAATGTGAAATATATTACACAATACAATTGACTCGAAATGAAAATATTTTTTGTGTTAAAAATAATTTTTTATTGACTCAAACACAACACAAAAATATTATTATATGATATAATTAAGAGTTATTTAACAAGTATTAATAGATGAAATTCTTTTTAAAACATAAATGTTAAATATTTAAATATTGAGGGGTGTAATTTTAATTAATTCAAACTTTTTAACGACAAAATAGATGGCAGTTAGTTAGTCTCAAATTCACATTAATACGTATTTATATCTTTTAGGGTATAAATTTATATTTTTAAATTTTGATGGTATAAATTAAAATTCGAGTAATCTTTCAGGGTGCAAGTTGAGATTAGCCTAAAAAAAAAAAGTGAAAACTAGATGTACTTGTTTGGAGATAAGTCCTTCAAAAAAACTTATAAGAGCCTAAGTCCATGTTTAAAATTATATGTAATGACTTAAGTTCACTTTTTTTTTTTATCTCAAATATAATTCCTTGAAAGGAAGTTAATTTTTTCTCTCTCATATCTATCTATATCCATATATAAGTTAAGATTTTGACTAATATTAAAATTTTTCATCTTATATATATATATATATATATATATATATATATATAGAGAGAGAGAGAGAGAGAGAGTAACATTCAAATTCATGTTACTATTTTTTTTATTATGTTACTGTTCATTTTACTGCTTTTGTTGAGTATGTTACTGTTCATGTATTATTATTTTTGAGCATATTACTATTTTTATTGATCATGTTACTATTATTATTTTCCTAAATATTAATATTCAATGTTACTATTTTATTTTATTTTTTTGAATATTACTATTTTTTGTATTTGAATGACATTTGAATTTGAGAAAAATAATTATTGTTAAGTATGTTACAGTTTTTGTTGAACATGTCAATATTTTTGTTGAACATGTTATTTAAAAATATTAATATTGAATGTTTCAATTTTTTTTATATTTAAATGTTACTATTTTTTTTTTTGTTTGAATGTATTATTTTTTGTGTCCAAATAATATTTTTTTTTGTATTTGAATGTTACTATTTCTATATATAGATAGATAAGAGAGAGAAAAGAAAAATTTTAAAATTAGTTAAACTCTTAACCTATATATGGATATAGATAAATATGAGAGAGAAAAGATTTTAATGTTAGTCAAACTCCTAAAATTTAAGAGTTTTTAATTTTTAGTTTTATTCCACTTCTAAAGAAAATGGATAGCATGGTAAAATTGACAAAAAACAGACTTCATAACAAATAAGTTTTTTTGACAGACTTAAGTCCATATAGGGGGACCGACCTTCAAATTTCCCAAAAAAAAAACCAACTTTGGCAATAAAATGAGCTCAGCTTGTGGGCCAAGTTCAATTGGGTATGAAAAAAAAAGGCTTTTGGGCTAAGGTTTACTCTTTAATTAGATTATTTTTAATGTAAATTTAAATTTTTATTCAAATTTGAGTAAAAAAAAGGTAAAAAAATTAATTTGGTATAGAAATATCCAATGGAGAAACTCAAATTTAAATGAAGAGAAATCCAAATTTAAATGAGGATGAACCCAAATTTAAAAGAAGATAAATATGATTATTGAATCTTTAAAGGATGGTGAAATCTCACAATTAAACAGTTGAATATAGATTTGGGTTTCCTTTCATATGATGTGAGTATGAGTGTAGCATTAGAGAAGTATTTTAGACCATTTTAAATTTGGGTACAAAAAATTGTCAAGACTAGAGATACTCTTAGATTGTTAGTTCAAATTTTTTGGTATACATGGAGAGGACTCCAAAAGTTTTAAATACAAGGATTGTAAAGATTGAATTTGCAAATTTGAATATTTGATTTAGTGAATTTGTGCCGAATTCACACCCAATTCGTGGATGTACATTCGAAATGCAAATTTGTTAAGGTTTTTATGCGAATCTATGTGATTTAGGAACCCATTGGTAGATTTCCCTCACGGGTTCAAACTACTATAATCACGTCCAGACAAATGTTCCATTCCAATTTCCCCCTCCAGCCATTTTTATATTGATGGGTGACCTTTTTATTCTCTCTCTAAATCTTTCGTCAAACAATATCCTCAAGGGTGACACTAATTAACCAACTTGCTAGTTTCCTATTTTACCTTTTTCCACAGCCATCCGAATTCAACATTATCATTTTTCTACCAATTAATTACTTGAGAAAGCATGTGTCTTTATCAAAACTTGTCCTAATTGCTTGTTACAAATTCAAAGACTTCTAAATTTTCAAAGGCCCACATTACTGTCCCGTCCCGTGTTTCGTTCTTTCTTGACACCTAAGAATCATCACAACCACACAATTTTAGGACATTTCATCATCCCAAAAATCTAATATTTATTTAATTTCTTAGGACCAATGTTATTCAATCAATCGAAACGTCGCTTTTGTTGTGAAACAAAAACTATAAACTATTAACAAGATGTGTTTGATACGATGGATAGAAGGATAAAAAATAGAAGTAATACATTTTTAATATTTTAAGAAAACAATCATTATTTCTCTTATTTGTGTTCGGTAGAAAGGTTGGAAGTAAGTTTTTTTTTTTTTTTTTTTATATTTTGTATAGATTAAAAAGGAAATTTTAGAAAAAAAATATTTAATAAATATTATATCGCTGTGTTTGAAGAGCCTAGATTTAATTAGATCAAACTCAATTAATCAAGTAAGCCCAAATACACTAGAAATGCAGGTCAAACCCAGTTTATCAATCTAACCCAGTCCAAGATTCAAGGAATCCAAGAATATTGGAGCATGTGAGAGAGAGATTATCGGGATACCCACTTTCAAAGATCAAGACTATCATAATTGTATTTACCTTTTGTAATTATCCTCTTCGAAAAATTAATACCCTCACACTCACGTTACCGTCTCACCATGCCTATAAATTGTAAGCTCTCTCTATTGAGAAGGGCATCTCACTGCACATTGAGTTTTGCCTCTATACCCCTCTACACACACTTTCTCTCTCCTAATTATTGTATCTCTCCCAGAAATAATCATTGCTCTCTCTCTCTCTCTTGTCTACATTGTTTGATCAATAAAAATCCCCCACCACCGTTACCGTTTTTCAGAGTGAAGTAAGTCATCCGGACCAAATCACTATATATCTTTGTGTCGACTCAATATTTATATTATTGTCATTGATTGTTTTATTTATTGTCTATTAATTACACCGTATCACACACTCGACTATTGATCTTGCACCAAACAGTTTTGTGCATCATCAATGTTTATGTATGAAATTAATATATTTATAAGTAATAAAAAAAGTAAGATATATGTATGTATTATGGTATATGAAGTTATATATCAGAAACTGTAGCACACTTTGTCAACATTC